AGTACTTTTTTAACAATTTTAGTTATTAAAAAATAAAATTATCTGTATACTCTTTGATTAGTAGCTAGCCAAGCCATCTAAATATAATTTTATTAAAACAGAATTTTTTATCCAGTTATTGGGCAGTTGCTGTTCAGTAAATTTAAAAAAAAAAAAGTAAAAAATGTTTTCGACTATTCCGTTTTATCTTTTTTATACTGTACGAGAGAAAATAAAAATTTACACCGAATCACGCGTCTTTCTCTGTCACGATATTTTATCACCACTTTCTGATATTAATTAAAAACGCACGAAAATATATCAAGCAAGTAATTAGTGGTTAAAATTATTAATTTGGCCATTCTAAGTTATCGTTTAACTTAAAACTCAAAAGATGTCTAGATAACAAAAAAATGCGACTTTTATATACGTGTATATAACAGCATTTGAAAAAAAAAAAAAAGATAATTACCTATAATGATATCCGCTGGCGTGATGACCACGCCGACATTTTGATGACTCATAGCGAATTAATGACGGTGCGAATCGCCGATTTCCGAAAGCTCAAACAAATGCGATGTGTCGCGAAAACTGATCGCTGATCGCGTATTTTCCTTAACTCTGCGTCCATGCAAGTGGCAATGCCATAATGACGGGACGGAACAACTTTCGGTCGTGGCGCGTCAAACACGATTCTTTCTCTTATTCTCTCTCTATCTATTTCTCTCCCTGACACAGCAAAGCGATAAGGACGCATCAGATCAACCGCAGGGGTCATTCACGGGTACGATAACGATGAAAAAGGAAAAGACTGCGACATACGTGATACCCCCCACGTTTTTATACAGAACATCAAGTCGGACAGATTTTTTCAGATTAAAAGAGATTATGTATAGCGGGAGTGAAATCAAAAATAGATTTCCTGTAACAAACATTACAGATGCGTTTTGCTATCTTCGGCCTTGAAAAACTAAAAAGAAATATTTCAAAGTTGGCTACAGACATAAGTGTATAGATGTGTAATTTAAAATGTGGGATGTAAAATCTTGTGCCCTCGGCAAAAGATAATGTGATAATATACATGTATCGTCCGCGTTATTTTCATTAATTGTACGTATATTATTTCGAAATTCATTAATTTCTTGTAAATTTCCATAACTTTTACCACTTTTTTCACCAATCATTATTGAACAAAAAAATTGAATTTAGTATAGTAATTTATTTTTGTCTAGGTTTCACATAAAGAAGGCTGTGAATACTGCATCTTAAAAATTATCTGCTTTTTAATTATTAAAAAAATGTATTTTTTTGTATGCTTTTCCTCCAAATAGATATTTATTTGAGAGTGTAGTATTTTTAGCCAAGATTTTTTTATCTTTCTTACAATTATGTTTATGTATCAAATCTATATTTCACTGTGTGATATTAGATATTAGCGTAGAGTATAAACATATATATGAGGAGATGCGTCAAATATATTTTTACAATCCTGAAATATATCGCGGCCAAAGTGTATCATTTAAACGAGTTATTTTCGTACGATACATATGAATTCACTTTTGAAAATGCGTGGGATTGATATTTTAATCCGCAAATATTTCAGAAGCTGGTTTATCATAGATAATATAATCTACTCTTTTCTGGCATTTTCTCAAGTATTAATCAAAATTTGATCGAAAATAATTTAAAATCTTATTGACTACTTAAAAAACGTTAGTCGATAAAAGGGTAAATGTTCGGATTAACTTACACCTCACGGATCATTATCATTTTTAGAGGGTACATTCCTAAGTAATACACGCTTCGAATTTTGTGGCGCTCTCTTCTGGTTCCAGAGATATGCGATTTTGAAGTATCATAATTTTCGTATTATTTGTATCATTTTTTCGTTATATTCTACTTGAGTGTTTATATTTTTTTGTTTACATTTGCTCGTTATTGCGTCAATGTCAGTACGCTTCTGGATTTCTGTTTAATTTCGCTAAGAATTTCTTTTTGTTTATATTTAGTTGTCGATATAATTTAATAAGATATAAACAATTTTATACTGCTTTGTTTTGTAATATTTTTCTTATTTTGCCTGAATACTTCTACTATTAAAAAAAATATATATATTTATTATTATATATAAAAATAACTTATTATATATAAAAATAAATTATTATATATAAAAGTAAATCTTTAAATAAACGCGTGAGCGGGAGAGGGGCTCCACCTTTCCCTCTGCATCCCCATCCCGAAATAATCTAATCTAACCCAAACCATGTCCCAGGGATGAATTATTTCTTAAAATAATAAAAATTCACTCCACGACCATGGGTTGGGTTGGGTTAGATTTTTTCGGGGTGAGGATGTTGCCGCCCACGCGTTTACTTTATAATAAACTTGAACTATATCAAGGACAAGGTCGAGGTCAAGGTTGGGGTTAAAACCCATTTTCTTAAAATGTTTTTTTTACAATATTTCAAAATCACATATCTCTGGAACCAGAAGAGAGTGCGACAAAATTCAAAGCGTGTATTACTTAGGAATGTACTCTCTACAATATATGTAAAAATGTGAACGATCCGTGAGATGTAAGTTAATCCGAATTAATATTTACCGATAAAAGTTTCGATCGAACATATATAAAGCTTTTGAATCTGCTTTTATCTCGATCACACACATTCTGACATTTTTAAAAAATATTTCATTATCGGAAACAAAGTTGTTACGTCATATATGTATGTATGCTTTTACATCTAAAGCATTCCTAGATGGAGCGTATCATAAATTATAAATATTTGCGCGCGTGTAAGAAAATTCAAAACTATCTATTCTCTTTACCGGTTATAGGTACTACTGTTAACTGTTATTCTGTTATCTACTTTTTAATCTTATATATAGTTTTTTTTTTTAATGCATTAAACGCTATTAAAAATTGGTAGGCACAATTTTGCCCTGCGCGAGTCATGATATAAAAGTATGTATCTAGATATTCATTTTCCTCAAAATGTAATGAATATTTTAAATAAACATCTCGATACGTTTATCCTAACAATGTCCATTTTTCGACGTCAAGGTAAAAATATGTATTACACAGACGTGAAAAAACACACACATGTGCACACTAACCTTTGGCTGGCTTGCCGGTACCACTTTTTGTTACCACTCGGATCATTATCGTGTTGCGGTGTATCAGGCCGAGTGTTCTCCTGATCTCCATGTGCATTACAATTTTCAAGCTCCATGATTAGCTGTAAACAAATTTACAACATTCAATTTATATATAATCTCATTCGAGATAAAATTTTTCTCTAAATATATTTAATACTGTCTTGGAAAAAAATGGAATTATTAAAAGATTTATCATAAATATTTAACATTAATAAAACTCTCCAAGTAAATGACGATAATATAAAAATTTGTTCATTATAATTGATTTACGCAGATGCGCAAATACATCTGCGTTGTCATACGTAAAAATTTAATTTTTATAAGATGATACAAACAATACTTTGGTGTAAATGTCACTCGTAAAGATAGTAAAGCAAACAGAAAAAAAAGATTCGACAAATGTCAATGTCTTTCCGGTCCGTCCCGAGCCCGAGTCCCGAGTAAATAAATATAAAAATTATTTTCGCGTATCTACAACAACGAAATGCGAACAAGAATGCACAATTGTATTCGTTCTTTTACGATCCATAATTAACAGAGATGTTACAGTGCGTTAATGTCCGCGGCGTTATCATTTTTGTAGTCTCTTATCATTGTTGAAACTTAAATTAATCCCTTCTTCAACGTACTATCGTTAACTCATTGTTCGCGCGTTATTGTTATTCTTTTTACGCGAGAAACGTGAAAAGAAGGTAAACAACTCGTGTTCGTGCTCATTTGATGTAATAATAATCGTCAACATAATGTAGACGTACAACGCGAAAATAAAATCAACTTTCATTCTCGTACCTTTCTGGCAAGTATCTTTTATCGCACGCTTTTATGATGAACGTCATAAAAACTAATGATTCTCAAAACTGTTCGACATCGACAATTATATATAAAAATAACTTATTATATATAAAAATAAATTATTATATATAAAAGTAAATCTTTAAATAAACGCGTGAGCGGGAGAGGGGCTCCACCTTTCCCTCTGCATCCCCATCCCGAAATAATCTAATCTAACCCAAGCCATGTCCCAGGGATGAATTATTTCTTAAAATAATAAAAATTCACTCCACGACCATGGGTTGGGTTGGGTTAGATTTTTTCGGGGTGAGGATGTTGCCGCCCACGCGTTTACTTTATAATAAACTTGAACTATATCAAGGACAAGGTCGAGGTCAAGGTTGGGGTTAAAACCCATTTTCTTAAAATGTTTTTTTTACAATATTTCAAAATCACATATCTCTGGAACCAGAAGAGAGTGCGACAAAATTCAAAGCGTGTATTACTTAGGAATGTACTCTCTACAATATATGTAAAAATGTGAACGATCCGTGAGATGTAAGTTAATCCGAATTAATATTTACCGATAAAAGTTTCGATCGAACATATATAAAGCTTTTGAATCTGCTTTTATCTCGATCACACACATTCTGACATTTTTAAAAAATATTTCATTATCGGAAACAAAGTTGTTACGTCATATATGTATGTATGCTTTTACATCTAAAGCATTCCTAGATGGAGCGTATCATAAATTATAAATATTTGCGCGCGTGTAAGAAAATTCAAAACTATCTATTCTCTTTACCGGTTATAGGTACTACTGTTAACTGTTATTCTGTTATCTACTTTTTAATCTTATATATAGTTTTTTTTTAATGCATTAAACGCTATTAAAAATTGGTAGGCACAATTTTGCCCTGCGCGAGTCATGATATAAAAGTATGTATCTAGATATTCATTTTCCTCAAAATGTAATGAATATTTTAAATAAACATCTCGATACGTTTATCCTAACAATGTCCATTTTTCGACGTCAAGGTAAAAATATGTATTACACAGACGTGAAAAAACACACACATGTGCACACTAACCTTTGGCTGGCTTGCCGGTACCACTTTTTGTTACCACTCGGATCATTATCGTGTTGCGGTGTATCAGGCCGAGTGTTCTCCTGATCTCCATGTGCATTACAATTTTCAAGCTCCATGATTAGCTGTAAACAAATTTACAACATTCAATTTATATATAATCTCATTCGAGATAAAATTTTTCTCTAAATATATTTAATACTGTCTTGGAAAAAAATGGAATTATTAAAAGATTTATCATAAATATTTAACATTAATAAAACTCTCCAAGTAAATGACGATAATATAAAAATTTGTTCATTATAATTGATTTACGCAGATGCAGATTAGGTTAGGTGCAGGTATGTATTAATATTATTAATGAAAAATCTGCCGCATTAACTGCATAACGATAGTTATATGCTGTCCATTGATAAACTTTGCGCGTCTGCTTTGAATAAAATACATCTGCGTTGTCATACGTAAAAATTTAATTTTTATAAGATGATACAAACAATACTTTGGTGTAAATGTCACTCGTAAAGATAGTAAAGCAAACAGAAAAAAAAGATTCGACAAATGTCAATGTCTTTCCGGTCCGTCCCGAGCCCGAGTCCCGAGTAAATAAATATAAAAATTATTTTCGCGTATCTACAACAACGAAATGCGAACAAGAATGCACAATTGTATTCGTTCTTTTACGATCCATAATTAACAGAGATGTTACAGTGCGTTAATGTCCGCGGCGTTATCATTTTTGTAGTCTCTTATCATTGTTGAAACTTAAATTAATCCCTTCTTCAACGTACTATCGTTAACTCATTGTTCGCGCGTTATTGTTATTCTTTTTACGCGAGAAACGTGAAAAGAAGGTAAACAACTCGTGTTCGTGCTCATTTGATGTAATAATAATCGTCAACATAATGTAGACGTACAACGCGAAAATAAAATCAACTTTCATTCTCGTACCTTTCTGGCAAGTATCTTTTATCGCACGCTTTTATGATGAACGTCATAAAAACTAATGATTCTCAAAACTGTTCGACATCGACACTGTTATTTGTCATCTAAAAATTTAACAGATCTTTGTACCCTCACCACCGCCTCGTGCGACGTGCGACGTGCGACGTGCGATGCAGATTGCAGATTCGCTATTCACTGCAATTCACTACATACTGAGGTCAATTCACTGAACTGTAATAAATTCGGACGCAGGTATACCAATCGGTCATAGTAAAAAGTCTCTAAAATGTATTTGACACGCGCAGCTCAATTCGGGCGAAAAGAAAAATCGAGTGACATTTGTACAATGGGAAAAAAAACTAATTATGACGATATGATGGGAATAGAGTTGATAATTTGTGAGATATGTATGTATATATGTACGTGGCGATCACAGTCCGTTCGCAAATGCAATCTAAGAAAAATTTCAGAGTTTGATTGACCAATCGGAGCAAGGAGATCTTCTCCTCCTTCGTCTCCCGATTAGTTAATCGATCGATTCGAAACCTTTCCAGCATCAAATGGAACACACTCCAAGTCAAGGATACCGATCAGTGTTGCCAATAGATGCATATTATTATATACATATACGATATACGCTGTATAATAATTAATATAGAGGACGATATGATAAATCGCACACAGACAAAGATCGATTCTAGAAAATTATTAAAATTTGTTACAGTATTTACCTTTCATACATTCTTGTATAATTATAGTGTATGTAATCTCTCAAATCTGGCTACAAATATAAATTATATATATCCTATCGTAAAAAAATCGATAAAAAAATTATTTCCCTCTCTTTATATATATATATATTCTTAAAAAAAAAATTAAAGTTTATAATGCAAAGTTGTTTCTAAAAATAATGGAGAAAACTTAGCGTTAGACGATGAAATGAAAGCGGACCGATAAAAAAGGTTAGAGAAGGGCGTTGAATGTTGATCGAATCGCTTTTACTTGGAGCTTGCGTGGCGTACAAAGGACGTGCGATACGTGACGAATGGGATAGAAGAAGATGTAAAGTCGATATCGTGTATCTCGTATAGAGAGAGAATCGTAATATATAATATATATATGTGTGTGTGTGCGCGTGTGTTGTATACAATATAATATGCACCTGTCGGATAGTCGAGGCGCGAATAACACGCGAAGCACCCTGACCTGTAAGATCGACGAGGGCGGCGTCGTCAGCGGCTGCGATAGCGGACGAGCTTGTCCGTAGCGCCGTAGACCCGTCCCCGTTGCTTCGTTGTCGGAATCGGTGAAACGACGATATCCACGGAATAGTAGGAGTAGGAGGAGAAGGAGGTAAAAGCCTGTACTTTGCGATTCTCGCGAGTCTCCACCACGCGTACGCGTTCTTCATCCTCGTCGTGCACGTCGACGACGACGGCAACGGCAGTTCTGTCGGATAATCGAGGGGAACATACGGAGGCGGACGGCGGACGTGTCGCCGTTCAACAATTACGTCTCGCTCGGTCATCGGTATTGCGTAAAATTAATCCGATTTAGTTGGTGACCTCGCGGATGCGACACGACGTAACCTACAAATTGCAAAGTATCGTATATCGTATGTACGTACGTACGTACGTACATCGCGGATTTCCCCCTCCCCTGTATTTGGCTCCGACGACAAGTTGAGCGTCGTTGCATCGCGCGAGATTGTCTTTCTGGTAGATCGACACACTAGTAATTTCTCCCGTTGTCTAGCTTTAAGTTCTAGTACGGTATTTCGGCGAGAAACAGTGATACGCATTTCTGTGCGTGTTGCGTGCATATCGGTTATCGGTGCGTATCGCGATCGCGTCGCGCTGCTCGCTACTCGCTGCCGAGAAGAATGCGACGCGTCCTGTCGTGTGACCCAATCCACTTTTGATTTGCGTGCCGCGTGCCACTCGGCACGCAGAGTCTCCGATCTCCGAGAGATCTCTCAACTCCAAACATGTATCTACGGTGATATTCGGGGCTTTCCTCCAGCAGTGTATTCGTTATCAGTGAGGAGCGGTTCCGGGTATCGCGTGCGCGCGCGCGCGCGCGCGCGTGTCACCTCGCTTCACCTCGTCTCACCTCGTCTCGCCTCGCCTCACCTCGTCTCGCCTCGCCTCGCCTCGCCTCGCTTCGTCCACTGCGTCTCGAACTCGAACGGGTATGGAATTTTGCGCGACGACAATCCAATAAACTTGGCACGTCGACATAACCTTTAAGCCGCGACGACCGTGATATACTGTCGCTTTCTCGATTCTCTCACACAATTGTTCACGTTAATCGACAGATTGGTAGATTGGCACAGGCTGTCACGCCACGCGATCGCGATCGCG